TTTTATGAGAGAACAATGGAAGTTTCACCGGCTTCCTTTGTAGAAGTAGCTCAGTGCTGTTGTTACAAAGAATGTGAATTATTTTATTAAGAAAATTAGGAAAAAAATGGAAACAATGCTTTTGTACATAAGGAGGGGAAGGAGTTTGAGGGAAGTGGGATAAAATAAAATAAAACTTTTTGGGGGGGTACCAGGGATCAAACTCAGGTCCTTGAGCTTGCACAGCAGGTGGTGAAACACTGAGCTAAATTCCCGGCCCAAAATAAAATTTATTTTGAAAAAAGAAAAGAAAAGAGAGAAGGTAAACCATAGAGAAAGAGAAAAAGAGAGGAGGAGGGGAAGAGACAAAGGTAGTCAGAGAGAGAGAGAGAGGTTTCTTTGGAGTCCATCTGAGAATGCAGTCATGAGACAAAGAGCATGGCTCTGTTTGGAAGATGGCACCAAGCTCAAACCAATGCCATATATGAGACATCAATTTTCTGCAAATGCCACTGAGAAAAAAATGAGTAACTTCCAATGGTTTGAAGTAGCTTAGTGATAACCAGGAGTGTGCCGTGTTCTTGCCAAGTTTATTTCAGAAATGGAAAAAGAATGAAGTGCAACAACAAAATTTATGTTCCCCCTTGATCCACAGCTAAAACAAGCTCTGGGGTGAGAGATTTATGTAATATCATTCTCTCAAGTGCTTTGTTTTCAAATATGTGCTTTCCTGCTCCAAGGAAACTGATATTTAGTAGAAAATGTGACAGTGTATAATCTAACAGATGGGCATTGTTATGACATCTGTGTTTTGCTTTAAAATGTTTCAGCACAGTTGTATTCATTTAAGTAGAGCCTTATTACTGCTATTGTTCTAAGCAGAAATTCCCACCCTCAGGAGTGGTTAGTCAGCTAGTTAGTAGTTAATTGAGAAGCCCACACTCTGGAGGGCAGCAGATGACTTCAGCTGCCATTCCTTTCATCTGTAGCAGAAGCTAGGAAGTTAGCATGAAGAATGTTAGAAACAGGCACTCACTGATGAAATTAATGACAGGTTAGGTATACAGATGAGCTAATAAAATGGTTTCAGGACACCGCTAACCTCAAAATAAGAATCTAACCAGGCCTGTGTCCTGTGCCCTGCTGCTACAGAAGATCAGGGGCATCCAGTTATCTGATGTCCACTCTCAGGGTAACCAGATCCTGCCTCCAGGAAACCAGTGTGTCTGCCCAGAAACTTCTATGCAAGAGCTGGTGAAGCACCTGAAGTCAGAGAACTAATACCTCCTCTGTCTCAGAGTAAGTGTGCACAGAAGCAGATATGTAGGATGAACAAACTGGAGATCTAGTGTGCAGCATGACTACGTTAATAAAATTGTATTGTTTTAAAGGAATCTTGAATAAGTAGATCTGAGCTACTCTTGTCATACACACACACAAAGTAACTGCTATGATCTGGATCTGAAATGTTCCCCAAGGTGCATGTGTCAAAGGCCGGGTCCCAGGGCAGCAGTGTTCCAAGATGGAGCTTTTGGGATGTGATTGCATCATAAGGGCTCTGACCTTGTCAATGATTGACCATTGATAGATTCATAATTTAATGGGCTGTCAGGAGGTAGTTGAGACTCTTGGAAGTGGGACCTAGTAGGAGGACATAGTTCCATAGGGTGTGACTTTGGAGGGTGTTTTTGTCCCTGGTCTTGTGCTTGCTCTCTTTCTCTTCCAGCCACTGTGAGGTGAGCAGCTCTGCTCTGCCCTACACTCTTACTGCCATCATATTTAGCCTCACCACAGACCTAAAGGCAATTGAGCCAGTGAACCATGGTCTGAACCCTCTGAAACTGTGAGGCAAAAAACATCTTCCCTTTAAGTTGATTTTCTCGGGTATTTTTCATAGTGACAGAAAGCTGACTACACAATAACTATGTGAGTTGATGGACAAGTTACTTTACCTCACTATAATAACCATTTTACTATTTGTATCTTATAACAACATTATGTGAACCTCAAATGTACACAATAAAATTTTTTAATGTAGGTGATACAAACTGGCCTGGCCCTAATAATCGATGTCTGTACATGATTCAGCATTTTGAGGTATCCTTTCATCCACCGCTGATATAAAGGTGGTGAGAGAGGAGCTAACCTTCACCTACAGCAAACTAGTTGGCATCTCCTATTATTTATCAAAAATAACTCGAGTTACACATTCACAAAATAGTGTAGATCAGTTCGTGATAGGCAAATAATTAAGTTTGACAGAGAGGTGATACTCCTTTCTAATCTGCCTTTGAAGTACTGAAAAGGTCAGCCCAAAAGAGGCTTCCTTGAGCACCAACCCCCTCAAGCCTGGACATTGAGTGACTACATTAGTTGTCAATGACAGAGACTATCCTTGCTCATTCCCTCTATCCCTCTATCGCATGGTTTATATTGCCCTGTGTACCAATATGTCTAGGGTACTACTACACAGGATTAGAGTAACGAGGAAGATCAGTGTATATTTTAGAAAGAATGTAATTCTACTAGAGTTACAGTTAATTTCCAGAAATGCCAAACGTGTAATCAACAGTTCAACACTAACCGTGTTAAACCCTAGCCATTGATAAAGCTTATATTCAGCAACTACACTTTCATGTGAGCCTTCACCCTTACTTTGGAAGCAACTCATCTGAAACCTTGAGCGCAGTGCTGTGAGATTCTGAGCAGAAGAGCCTGGTAAGTCTGACCCACAGAAACTGAGACAAGGGTATTTGATTCAGTGTTTAGAAGGTCTGATGAGGGTAAATTGGCTCATCACAACTAATCTATTAAAGCCTGTTTTCTAGAGGTCTCAAATATTCTACCAAGAGTTTCACCTCTTAATTTTTAAAGTATTGCTATCCTCACTTGGCAAATAAGTAAACGGCCAATTTTAAACATAACACTTCCTTTGTCATTCCTATAGTAGAATATGAAAGGCCAAAAGCCAAATGAGAAACCATAGTGTTAAGTGAAATAAATCAGACACACAAGCTTAAATATACCATGATTTCTCCTAATCAATAAACCCAAAATATAAGTAAAGAACAAAATAAAAGATAGATAATAGGAAGTAGGGAGATACAGCTTTCACAAATGGGAAGGGGGATCAAGAGATAGAGGGAGGGGTGGGGAGAAGGAGATGAAAAAAGTAACTAAGATGTTTTTTAAACATGTACAAATGCCCCACAAGGAATGTAACATTATGCACTGCAAACATGTACTAACAAAAAAAGATGAAAAAATGCCAAATAAAAGAATTTCTCTTTGAGTATATAGATTTGAAATCCAAAGAGTACTGGTAAATATCTTTAAAAATTAAATACCGATGAAAGGATTATAAAGAAAAATAGTGTGACCCGACCCACCCTTACCCATAGCCTGCTCTGATGATTTCTCCTAATAGTCACCCACACATTTCTACTATACACATGCTGCCGTTCTTTGCTGTTAACTTTACACAGCAATCTATTCCTTTCTAGTAGGAAGTTACAGCCAACAGACCTGCATAGCATGGTGCAGCCTGTTTCCATGAGAATGAGGATTAAGCAAAAGTCGTGTGTAGGGACAGCCCCTGTACCATGCAAGCTGAAGACTCTCCTGACACAAGAGTCCACTGGGAGGATCAAACTTATACAAAGAAGTTAGAATGTGAAGAGGAAGATTTTGAGAATTCTTTGGAGGAATCGATGCTGTAGCAACCATCCTGTCTGTACCCTGAGGGCAAGAATACAATGTCAGTTTCGATTTCTTTGCCTAAAGTCTGAAGACAGTGAGTTTCCAAGTGACCATCAGAGGGATCTGCATGTGGTACCTGCAATGAGAACACGGTAGACCTGAGCTGAACTCCTGCCCAGGGAGTCCAGAAGAACTGAAGCAGGCTGCTCTGGCAGGACACCCAGAAAACTGAGGCTGTGTTGGAAAGAAACTGCCCCCACCCAAGAGTGGGATAAAAGTCTGTGAAACTCAAGGATTAGACATAACACCTATGGTAGGTATGGCAGACTTAATCAAGGTGACCTCCAGTAAGTCATGGTCCAGCTGAGTGTGGACAAACATGTGACTTGCTTGTAGCCAACAGAATGTGGCAAATGCAATTGGATGTTACTCCCTTGATTACACTGTGCTCTGTGATAAGGAAAGGGATGTTACTCCCTTGATTAAGGAAAAACGTTGAGATGGTCATTTTCATCACATTACATTGCACTCCATCTTAATGAGCTGGATGCTCTCCTGTGTTTGAGAGAGTAAATTGCTATATTATTAAAGGGCCTGTGAAAGTAAAGCATAGCAAAGGACTGCAAGTGGCCTCTAGGAGCTGACAATAGTCATCAGCTAGCAGCCAACGAGAAATCAGGGATTCAATCCCACATCTGCCCAGAACTGAATACTCCAAGGACAAGGACTCCAAGTTCCAGAAAGGAATGCAGTTCATCTAACACTTTGATTGTAGTGTTATTTGACCCTGAATAAAAGAATCTGGTGAATCTAAACCATGGAAACTGAGATAATAAATGTGTGTTAAGTCATCAAGTTTGTAGTAATTTTTATGCAATAATAGAAAAATAATACAATAGGAAAATTGCTTTGTGGTAAAATAAGGAATCCTGCTTAGTGCCCAAGGGATCTCAAACAACAATTAATCATCTGCAATGAGAAGCTGATTGAGGAGTAGGACCGACAGTCAGGCAAAGGACAACAGGCACAACCCATCATATCACAGGGGTTGGAGAGACAGAAGTACTGAGGATAGCAGTCTCCAATGAACCCTCATGTCAGCCAAACCTAGAAAATCCAAAGCCCAGGAAAAATGTATTTCCTATCAAAGTGGTATATTGATAAAACAGCTTCCAGAGCCAGGGCAAACCCTGATTTGCAACATGCTCCAGTTTGTGTGGTATGAATCTCCCCACCATAACATTTCAAGCTACTGATGATTTAACAAACAGCTCACAGAATTCCTGATATTTAACAGTCAGCTTTTGGTAGCTATCACTCACCGCAGGCACCTCTACTCCCTCCAGCTTCACCTTCACCATGGGATGTCATCAGTTTGAAGAAGTGTGAGCACATGGCAGAAGCCTGGTTCTTCATCAACAGCCTTTGATGGAGAAGACTTTACCTCGAATGGCATTCACAGTGTTGGTTAATATCCTGGACAAGACATTTAGAGAATTGAGCCTCCAGGTTTATTTTTAACAGAGGATGTAGAACAGCCTATTATATAAGAGTGATTGAAAGGTCAAAGGATCTACCCTGATTTACTTGCGCGCCCACTCACACACACACACACACACACACACACACATAATGTGCTAACAAATGACTTTTCTCTGTTATTATTTAAAATACAGATAAAAATTGCCTAGCGTTACTTTTTTTTACAACTTTTAATATTCCCATCTCCTCAGAAAAGCCTTTGTGAGTAAGAAGCATCATATATTCTACACTTCTAAATACTCCTGTGTTCCTCTGCCTATCTGTGCTGCCGCTGCCTCTAGGAAGCCTCGGTGTTGAGCTTGTCTGTGAAGGCATACAGGAAAAGACTGCTCTGAGGACTCTCCGGAGAATGCCAAGGGAACCCATCAGATTTCGAAGGCAGTGGAACGCTCTGCCTTTGCCCACCTACATGGACCTGACAGCTAAATGGGAAGAGACATGGAAGCTGAACAGGGCTTTGTGCTTTTAGAAACTCACCAGGTGGAAAAGAGAAAAGAAACTTAATCCCTGGGTGGAGTCAGACTGCTGGGGCCAAAATGAATCTATCTGCATTATTTCCACTGAGAAGATTTTGGGTGTGTTATCTGGGAGTGGTTTGTGCAGTTACCATAAATTACTCTCTGGTAGAACATCTCTGAGGGTTTGAGGCCCTGAAATTTCCCTCCAGGTATACTGAGTTCTGGAGGATTGTTGTGGATTGCCTACATCAGACATCTGGACCTGAGCAGCTGTTGTTTCTTGTTACAGTGCCGCTTCTCAATCAATAGTCACCTCTCCATTGATTCCTTCCAAGTAAAACTCTGGCAAAAGAAACACTGCTCACTAGAAGGAGTTTGAAAGTACTGAGTCTGGCACTCATATGTCTGTATTACTCATCGTTCATGTTGCTGGACCTGCTCTTAAAGTAAGAGAGGTTTATTTGGCGCGTGATTTCAGGGGAGTCAGTCCTTACTTGCTGGGCTGATTCCAAGGCAGAAACAAGGGAGAAGAGATAGTAAACTGAAGCTGCTATATTGATGGCTGCCAGAAAGCACTGCACAGGGTCAGTGTGCCCACAAGACATGTATTTTCCAGAGGCCTCCATGGACCACCTCCAACTGGGCCTCCTAGTAGCACATTCATCTATGACCACCAGTGCCTTTTCCCATGGTCCAGGCATCTCTCCAAGGAGCCTTTTCATCCTCAAGTTGGGTTATATGAAATTGTTATTACTTCTCAAAAGATCCCCATGTTAAGTAGCCCCTAATACTTTCGACTCACTAGAATCATAGAGAGCCTCCGAGAATATGCAAATAAATAAGTTTTCCTTCAATTTCAGGAAATCCTAGGAGACTCTGACACTCCTACATGAATCTCTAAGTATTCATTGATCTAGCAAACAGTTTTATGCACAAGTACAGTCACTGGAAAGTACACATGTGCACACGGTCTCTCTAATTTCCATCCTTTGTTACCAGTACATTTTAAAAAGCTTTCTCCTACACATGTTGTTGATTTTCATTATTCTATTTTTAGTTTCTTTTGCAATAAGTTTAGAGTGTTTCAGTTTCACAGTAAGCATACATACACACCATATGGAAACCCTCTGGATTTGCGTCAAAGCAAATGGAATGCAAATGAAGATGTGCAAATAATTTCCTGGTCTATAAAAAGCTAATAAGCTTTTTGACTCATTGCCAAGTAGCAAAGTTACAATACAACGTACTTAGAAATAAAACATACGCGTTTCATACCATTCTTGGTGTGAAAAGTCATTCAATATGCCAATTATATGCCTTATATTCAGAATCACTTATTTTTTTTAAGTAGGTTTTTAGTTTAGTTTAGTTTTGTTTTGTTTTACTGGGGATTGAACTTGGGTCCTTGTGCTTGTGAGGCAGGCAGAGGCACCACTGAGCTAAGTCCCCAGCCCCTAAGTAGCATATTCTTAATAAAAATTGTTTTAAAAGATTCTGCCAGTCTAGAGTATCTCCTATAAAATTCTTAAAAGTCTATATAGGGGAAATGTCATAGGCGGGTTCCATTTGTTTTACACACACATGGTTTATAACACCTTGAGCGTATAAGAATCACTGTGGCACTTGACAATTATGCAGCTGCCCTGATTCAGTGGCAGGCCTATGAAAGCATTGGACAGGAAGTGATATTTTGTTTTTGTTAGTGTGATTTTAGTTTTCATTTTGAAGTAATATTGAATTTATAAAAATTTTGCGAAGATATGGAAAGCCCTCAGCTTTCCCTAATCTTAACCTCTTACAGAGATATCAGTGAAAATTTGTCAAAACTACAAATTAGCATTGTCATATTACTACTTATTAAACTAGTGATTTCATCAATTTTTTCACCAATGTTTTTTTTCTTCCCTAGGTTCTAGTTTAGGGCACCACATTGTATTTAGTCATTATATGTCCTTAGTCTCCCACAACCTATGAAAATTTCCTAGTCTCTTGTTTTTCAAGACCTTGACACTTTCAAAGAGGTCAGGTATTTTGCACATCATTTCAATTTCATTTCTAAAATATTTTCTGATGGCTTAGAGGGAAAATACTCCCAAATGGCTGGATACTGGTATGAATTAGAGGGAAGTGTTGAAAAACTCTGATGGAAATGGAATGGATATGTCAACGATGACAACATTGACCAATAATCTTCCTGAAAACAATATAAGGAAAGGCTTTGGAGACAGTCATGGTTTTATTTTCGGATGTGTCAAGTTTGAGGTGTTTCAAGTGTTCCAGCTAGAGCAACTTAACTAATGGTTGTATCTCTATACCTCATTCTCAGAAAAGGAGGAAGATGAAGGCAGAAACTATGGAGAAAATGTTGACACTCAGACCAAATGATTGAGCAAGATCACTCAGGGTGAACTGCAAAACTGGAGAAAAGAACAAATATAGTCAGAAATTTAGACAAAATTTAAGGTTTGTCTAGAGTAAGGGGAACCAGTAAAGGAGAGAGAAGAAAGGAGATGTGGTCTAAAGGCTAAGAGCAGATGTGATTGGCATCTAGATCATAAAAATTATAGAGTTCAGACAATGGAGTGGTCAACTGTATCAGTGCTATAGTCATAAAGGTGAGGAGGTTTCTAAGGATCAAAAGAGGCAAGAACACTTAGATCCAGCTCACTTCTGCTTCCAAGAATACAAAAGTGAACATAATGTGGTGTTTGGAGAAGAAGCTAGGGTAGAAGAGAGATATTGCTTCTTTTTTTCTTCTTGTCCCCCTCTTCCTCCTCCCCCTCCTCCTCTTCCTCCTCCTCTTCTTTCTCCTCCTCCTTTTTCTTTCTTCTTGTTAGGATCAGGGAGACTGACAAACCAAATGGTTGGAGTTAAGAAGGCTCACAAAAGGCTGACTAGGCCAATTGGGTGTCTTACCTTTTAAGTGACTTTTATAGCCCAAATGCTAATTGAAAAGTTATTGAAAAAAAGTGGAGGAAGTGGAAATTCTCAATGTGCTTTGGGTGAAGGAAGATCTGCAAGAATATAGTGAGGAATAATAAAGAGAGGATATTCACATTCACTTATGTAAAGCATTTGGTGTTTAGAACTGTTGTTATATTCACAATTCAAGATACAGATTTTTACAAAAACAGCTAGGGAGATATTCCAGCTCAGCCAATTAGAGACAAAGGCACATGAGAAGCTCAGGGGAAAGCCACCAGATAATGCAGGTATTGTGAAATGGTTACTCAAACATAACCAGATACAGAAAGTCAACATGAGGGACAAACCCACTAGAATGAAGCAAATACAAGGGTTGCTGAGAAAAAAGAAGCAGTGCCACTGCTAACCCACAGCTCCCTCCACACCCTTTACCTAGAGAATATGTTATCTTGGGAGAAGTTCTAATATCCTGAGGAAAGGAGCCACTGCTACAGAGGCCAGACTCCTGGAATAAGCTCCCTACATTCTCTCCCTCCCACCTGAAACAGGAAACTCATCACTGGAGAAAGGGAGAGCCAGCAGCACTACAACAGGCAATCCCTCACCTCCATCATCCACCCAAGCACCAGGGAGCATCCTACCCACCACCTGTATTTCAGCATTGGCAAGGGAAGTCCCCCACTTTCAGCAGAGACCAGCTAAACACCATGAGCTGTAGGCAATGCAGAACTCACTGGTATGGAGCTGCAGATTGCATTCCTGAAGACACAGAGGAGAAAGGGAGATTCAGCAGAGCCAGACCAGAGCAGGTACTCTCCTATTGTTTCCCCAAACACTGGAGATATCTAAGACAGAATGAAATCCTGCTCATTGTTCACTGTCCCATGCAGTCAGGAAGCCCCTCTGCAGAAGTTGGGGGCTGTACCAAATTCCTTGGATCAGAGAGCAGAGCTCTTGGGACAGGAGTGAATGAGGGCTGTGAATGGAGGAACAGAAAGTGGGTCCTGGTCAGAGGGATTCTGGTGATGCATTAACCAAACAGTCTGTGGAAGAAAAGCACCAACATGAATGAAGCATTTTCTCTGCAGAGAAGGAACCAGGAGTGGGAGGCCCCTGGTGGAAGATGATGAAGAACAAGGTGTTCGGCAAATGACACATTATCTTCTCTCCAAATTAATTGAAGTGGTCAGATCTTGGGACAAAGACAGAGGCCTGGAGTTAGCTACACCCAAGAACACCTTGCACCAGGCAAGGTCCAAACAGCCATTATCAGTAGCCCTCACCATTCCCAAGCAGATGGTTCAGCAGTCCACAAGGGAGAAACCAGTTTGGCTGCTGGCAATCAGACTATGTCTGCAGCAAAAAAAAAAAAAAAAAAAATAGAGAGAGAGAGAGATGTGTGGATACTTTGGTGCATCAGGACACTGAAAGCAAGCAATCTTTATTCTCAGATAAAGTAGACTTCAAGCTGAAAGTGATCAGAAGAGACAAAAAAAGGTCAGTACATATTAGTTAACAGGAAGACATAACAATTGTAAATATATATGCACCAAATACTGGCACACTCAGTTTCATAAAATAAACATTACTGAACATAAAAGACAA